TGAACGACCTGTTGGCCAAAAACACCAGTCCGCCTCTGGACATTCGGGTCCAGGGGAAGTCGGTGACAGTTCCAGGACTGACTCGGATCCAGGTCCAGACCCAGGCTGACATTCTTGGTGTCATGGAGACAGGAGAGAAGAATCGGAAGATAGCATCGACCAAGATGAACATCCAGAGGTTCTGCAGATGAACTGGGTTCCACTGACCGGGTTTGTACTTCAACGCTGATTCTGTCTGTTTTGGTTCTCCTTCCTCCTCAGTTCTCGGTCCCACCTTGTGGTGGTGCTGGAGGTGGAGGGATCAGATGAGGTTTCTGGTCTTACGTCTCGTGGCACCTTGACCTTGTGTGACCTGGCAGGTTCTGAGAGACTCTCTAGGACTGAAGCAGAAGGCCAGAGGCTGGTGGAGGCGGCGGCCATCAACAAATCCCTGACGGCACTGGGACAGGTACACGGACTCACCAGAACTCACCTGGACCGGTTCTTCACTGGTCCTCACACACACACACGAAACACTTCCAGCTTCAGTGATTAGACCAGGTCCTCTGACCCCCAGTGACCCCAGCTGAGATGAGGCTCAGATCCAACCAACCTGACTAACGTCCACCCGTCCTTCTTTAGGTCTTCACTGCGTTGAAGACCAACGCCCTCCACGTCCCCTTCAGGAACTCCAAACTCACCCTCCTCCTGCAGCCCTGCCTCAGTGGAGACGCCAAGGTAGGACACGCTGACCTCACACTCTCTACTGACCAGGTCAAAGGTGAAGGGCGTGTCCACCATCATGTAGATTAGGTCAATGTTTCCTCTGAACTGACCAACGGTGTGAATGTGAGTGTGAACGGTTGTTTTTCTTTGTATGTGACTGTGTGAACGGTCCACACCTGAGGACTGCTGGGATTGGATGGATGGACTGACGGTTGACCGTGTCCTCTGTTTTGTCTCCAGTGCTGCGTCTTCATCAACGTCAGTCCAGATGTGACCGATGAACTGGAAACTATCAGCACTCTCCAGTTCGGTTCCAGTATCAGACAAGTGACTCTGGGTAGAACCCCGCAGAACATTCTTCCTGCTAAACCCCACAAAGTCACTAAGTAACCAACGTGGAGCTGAAGCTCATCAGGTTCCTCAGGTTCTTCTTCACTCTTTTGTATTTTATTTGTAGTTTTGTTAATTCAAAAATAAAGTCGAAATCAAAGAATGAATTTATCTTTGTTCTCACAGAACAACAGTCATTTTATGATCATCCATCCACCCACTCATCCATCCACTCATCCATCCTAGCTCCTGTTCTTCAGCAGTTTTCTGAGGACACTGCTCTGTCTCAGTTCCCTCAGGTCAGAGACGTCCTCTGCGATCACTGGGACGTCCAGGCTATGATTGGTCTCTTGATCTTCGTCTGCGTCACTGTCAGATAACGTACACAAGAGGGCATCGTTCTCGTATGTGGGGAAGTAATACCTGTGGAAGAACATGTCCATCATCAGGTTCTCATAGACCACCTGGAGACATTTAATGACATTCATCAGATTCACTGAACTGACCGAAAATCTACAGGCCCTGTGGTCCATCACTGGGCCAGACCACACTCCCTACATGGGTCTAAATAAACAGGCCCTCGTTGGACAGACAGCTGCTGTTTGTCTCACCTCGGGAACTTAATGTGAGGATTAAATTTCCCATAATGCCTTTCTCTCTAACTGTACCATTGGCCCAGTGTGGGCTCTGAGCTCCTGGGTCATGACCCCTACAGTGTAGACCAGTCATAGGAAGAACTAGTTTCTTGGACGTACTGCGGCTGATCCCAGGTGGAGACGTCAGGCAGCTTCATCACATGACCCTGGGCCTGTATGTGACCCAGCACCTCAGCTTTGGAGTCAAACTTCTCCTGGCAGCCGTAGCAGGAGCTCTGGTGAATCTGCCGGCGGATGAAGTTCACCAGTTTGATCTGCTGATAGAACCTGAGGTCTGAGGAGAAGCAGACGAGATGATCAGAGATGAGTTTCACTCATGGTTCCATGGTTGGAGATGTTTCAGTGAACTGACTCAGATCTGTCCTCAGCTTATGGAGATCAAAACCATGAGCCTCCTGGTGAAGGAGAAAAGAAACAACAGCAGGTTCTTCTGAGTAAGTTCTTCATCTTGTTATTTCTCTGCTCCATCTGCATTTCTAAACATTCTTTATCTGGAGTCCTGAAGATGCCTGGTACCTTCATGTGTGTGTAAATCTGCTCCATGGTTTCTGACTGATGGTCACAGAACAGACACACCACCGACACAGGGTGAGCACGCCAGTCCGACCAATCGCTGAGAACGACAAGACCACATGTGAACCTCATGACGACTGACCAGAGCCAGGTCCAGAGCAGACACTGTGGGTTCTGACACTTACTCATCATCATCTTCAACAAATTCACGGTCGTCTTCACTCTGCACCTCCTCCCACGTCTTCCCCAGCTCCTGAAACAAGCAGCAGAGCAGGTCAACAGAAATGCCAGATGTCAGACAAAATCCCAAGTCTGAGTCTGACTCTTTTACCAGGTAGTTGATGACGTAGAATCTGTCGTACTCCTGGTTGCTGGCGTTGATGCGTCTGTGATTTTTCTTCCTCATGTGATCCTTCAGCGTGGTTTTATCTCTGAACGTCTTCTCGCAGTACAGACACTGCAGACTGAGAACAGAGGAGTTGATGAAACCCTGACCCTCAGCCTTTACTTCTTCAATGACTCTGACAATTGTGGAATGTGGAAACACGTCTCACTTGTCCAGTTTGTTCTGCAGAGTGTCCAAGAAGTCCTCACAGAAGACAACGTTGTCTGGAAGACCAATACTGAAGGAATGTTCTCTGGCCATGTGGTTGAGCAGAGATGACCTGGAAATCCATGGATTTTATATTTTTATTAGTTATTCTAATTATTATTCTCTATGGACTTTGGTCTGAGCTTAGATCACTGATTTTGTCTATGAGGTTTGGTAGTGGGGGACAAAAACATTTTCACAGTTGGACTTGTCTACATTTTTGCTGCACCTGTTTCCTGTAAACTCCTCGTTGCAGAACATACAGATGCGCTGAAAGGTGGTGTTGTCTCTCTCCACCTGCTGCTGCTCCAGCACCGTCTCCTGCAGGAAAACACAGAGACTGCTGTGAAGGAGAGGAAAAGATGAACACCGCCAACTCTTTGCCTGTGACGATGGTTTCATTGAGATTTCTGTCCAAACATGAAGGACTCACAAGACGTTTCTGCTGAAGCTTCTCTCGGAGGAGTCTGTCCTCAGGAAGGACATCGCACAGCAGGAAGTACTCCTCCTGTTTCTCTGGAAAGACAAACAATCATCACAGACCTGTGACCACAGCGCTTCAGCAACTGAAAGGATTCTGGACTAGAGTTGATCAGTGGTCACTCTAGGTCAGTATCCCAGTGTATGATCAGGAAACTGACCGACTGGTCCAGTAGAGTTGGTTCTAAACACACTGCAAAAGTCAGTGACTGGCTGCTCCAGGAATCTGCCCTTCCAGTACAACAGGTACCTGAAACACAGCGACTGTTAAGCTGAGAGTGTGGAGCAACAGAGATGTAGTTTTGGTGTTTAGGGGTTCGTACTGTGGCAGCTCTGCGATCAGTTTGACATCAGCGATCAGCAGTTTGTGCTGCAGCAGCAGGTGTTTGAGGAGAGCGTCCTTCTGGGACAGAGGAGTCGACTCGGAGCAGAACAGACACAGCAGCGACGGCTCAGGTGGAGGATGATGACGGGCCTCAGCCCCACAGACACCGAGGGGCACCTCTGGAAAACACAGAGGCTCCAGGATGCTGTCGTGACCTGACACACACACGCACACAGAGCCTTGAGGAGATACTTAAAGACAGTCGCCTTGGGAAGAAAACATGCTGCGCGGTCACCCTCCAACACCTTATTAAAAATGATAAATTAATTTTTATTCTTAATGATCTCGGGTGAGAACATTAACAGAACACAAACGCTACAACGAAGAGAAATATCAACATCTGCCTAGCATGCTAATCGGCTAACTGCATTCTGATGTCCATTTTCGTTTGTACTGCGTTTATTTTTCTCCGGGTTTCTTCATAAATTGGGAAAATATTTGACATTGTTTCGTTGACGGCCAAAAAGGCTATCAGACGATATTAAATTTAGTGTCTTTACAAACTTTTAACATACCATCTTTACTGCCGTCATTGGTGGCCATCTTGATGCCACGTGATGAAAACAGCGCCTAACGGACCAATCAGTGGTATGCGTATGCTGCGTTCAATTTTAAAGATATAAAAAAAATGTAAATACAAAATCATCTTTTTACAAATGTTTTTGTAGCACCCTAGCATGGCTAATAAGATGAATTATTAAATACAACTTTCTTCTGATAACACAGTATTTTTATTCCAACATCTTTCATCGCTGTCCAGTGTTTTGAAAGAATAAACAAACCCGTTTTAAAGGCGTGAACTCCACAGGTTTTAGGACCCGATGTTTCAGGTAGGCCCGTTGTGACGACACCCGGAAGCAGGAGCTAACATTGCCGGTGAGTTAGTTTGAAATCCTCGTGTTTTCCTCCCCTGCATCAGTTCCAGTGTCAGTGGCGAGACTTTCTGTTTTATTCTGCTTAGTTCTCAGTCTCTGCTCCGTTAACATCAGTTCTGCCTGGAACCGAAGCAGAGAAGAACTGTTATTAGCTGCGGTTAGCTCCTGCGGCTAACAGTTATCCTCTGACCTACAACAGACACTGGATTAAAACAGCAGCTGCAGACAGTGCATGTTAAAAGATGTAAATAGTTTATAAGATAAAAAAACATCAACTGAACAACAAACCGAAACAATAAAATATGAATATTATTAAAAAAACAAACATTTGACCGTCATTACAGTTGTTTAACGTTCTACTGTGTTTGTTATTTAATTATTCCTTTGAATTAGTAAAGTAATACATGGTATACTTATGTGACGAAAGTGTTTCCCAAGGCCTAGTTGTGGTTCATGGATAAGTTTAACTAATAAAATCTTTATTTCTATTAATTTTTGTTTGACTAGACAACATCTGTCTCCTCTCTTGTCATTCTTCTGATGGTGTCTTCTTCCATCCACCAGGTGAGGGATGGCTCAGCAGGCCACATCAAGGTGGCGCTACATCCGGGCGTTTGCCAGCGGCCTTTTTGTCGCCGTCCCCATCACAGTCACTGTCCTGGACCGTGTAGCCTATGTGGCCAGAGTGGAAGGAGCGTCGATGCAGGTGGAGTTCCAACACCACCTTCTCACCGACCGTCAGAGCAGAGACACATTCAGACACAAGTCTTCCATCCATCATCTATCATCCATCTGTCATCCATCATCCTTGTTGTTTTCTGTGCAGCCCTTCTTGAATCCAGAC